AATGTTATTGTTGTAGTCCCCCAAAGTCCAACAAAATAAGATAACCAAAGTTAATTGATTTACATGTGGTTTTCAATTTATTCCGGAGGATTCTTAAGGTCGAGTCGATGACTTCCCCATGCGATGGTGGCAGATGGATCTGATAATCACCGTCATAGTCAGTGTCATCATCGTCTATGTCTTTCCCATAGACTAGGTCATCAACCGAAACATCAGGCTCGCCCTCCAAGTCGATCGTCGTTGCGTTGCGCTCGGTAAAAACCTCGTACGTAACACTCACAAACCAAGGGAATCCGTACCAACGGAAAAATGCCTGAGTGTCTGTCTCCTCCTAAGTATTAAATTTGAAATTTTTTAGGGTTATGACCGCGTTCCAAAATGTATGAACAAACTAAAATAAAAAACCATTTTACCTCGCCCACATACAACCAGTACATGTTGTTAACACTGACACTAACATGTTAACACTAACACTTCAATAGTATTCATTATGTATTATGTTTCCAACTCTATATTACACCCGCAAGAGTACTCAAAAAAATTATTTGGGTTGATGTTGGTTGATTTTTGGGAGATGTGGAAGAAAACAACTTTGGAGATATGTGGAAGAAAGTAAATTCGTGAGGAATAGTGGTGCGATAATATTGTGGTTGATTTTTATGAGATGTGGAATGTTTTGTTCGTGTATATGTATTTAATGAATTAAATATTAGTTATTAATTAAAATATAAGATAGAATGAGTATTAGTGTACTAGTTATTAATAATGAATTAAAATATTAGTTACTAATTAATGAATTAAATATTAGTTATTAATTAAAATATAAGATAGAATGAGTATTAGTGTACTACTAATTTCTCATTAAAATATATCAAGGTAAGAATTTTATAGATATAAATTAAGTGAAAAAATAATGATTCGTCCTTTTAGAGGTATAAATTAAGTGAAAAAAATAAAAAATTCAAAATTTTCAAAGGTATAATTTACAATCAGTTTTTAAAAATGAAAAATGATGAAAATTATTATGTGCACATTATCTTGTGCAGTGCTTTTTTCTTTTACTCGAATCGGCCTAGTGGGTCAACCCAGAGCATGAACTGATCTAGGTGGGTCCTTTGGACCGGGTAACAAGAGACCCGGTCAAAACACGGTTGACCCTGGTATTGACTCGGTTGGTTTAACTCGGTTTGACCCAACCATTATACTTTTTGTATATTTTTTGTTTTCTTTTTTACTTTAATTTTTAAAAATAAAATTATACATGTATATTTATGGGTTAAAACATTTTTTCCAATATGCACATTTTTTTTTTTTACTTTGCAACCAATAATACTTTTTGGTGTACTATATGGTGAACATGCACAAATTATGAATGTTTATGAAGTTCAAGTTGCATTTTACTACTAAAAAGTATTGTACATTGCATAGTCAAAAAACACAGGTACTGCAAGTTGTAGCTAACATATTGCCTTATATTTGCGGTAGATGTTTACGACGAGATGCAATATTATTAAGACTTCGAGTTATAAAATTTATATATAAGTCATTTATTTTTGTTATTTTTATATATAGTCACGTAATAAAAATAAAATTACATAAATATAATTAAAAAAACATTAAAAAATTAATTACGCAATTCAACACCTGATAAGATAATTCGACGATTGGACTGGTGACCTGGACACCATCACGAGCCAATCACTTGTACACCGTATTAAAACATTGATCTCATCTCACACGTAAAAATGTTCTAATTTTGATATATTCATTTGTTAAATAGAAGAAAAAAAAAAAGAGTAATTGTGAAAATGACACATGCAAATTCCGAGATATCACGTGTCAAGCATGCTATATATATATAAAGGGAAGATGATACGGTCCCGTTACAGAACCATTCCGTCGGGTTTGTAACCGTTAGATCATCATGTAACCGTCAGAGATAGTTGATCTAACGGCTACAAATCCAGAGGGAATGGTTGCGTAACGAGACCTAACGGCTATATAAAGAAGAGGGATACCTCCCGTCTCAAAGAAAGGGGGAGAGAGGCAAGCTTTTATTTACAGAACACCAAATGGGCGATAAAAGAGCAAGGGAATGCAAGCCCAAATGGCGCCTACTTTTAGCAATGATTTCCCTCTTTCCAACTCTTTCCTTATCCGAAGATTACTTGGACGCTCTCTCAAAGAGCCTTCTCTACTTCGAGGCACAGCGCTCCGGCCGCCTGCCCTACAGCCACCGGGTGACGTGGCGCCACCACTCTGGCCTCACCGATGGCCTCGAGCAGGGGGTCGGTTATGTCACTTGAATTATTTACTTATTCAATATTTGAGAGCTGTTTAATTATTTTGTGCCACGTGAGTGATGATTTTGCGTGTGCGCAGGTGGACTTGGTGGGAGGATACTACGACGCCGGCGACAATGTGAAGTTTGGTCTACCGATGGCCTTCACCATCACGATGCTGTCGTGGGGAGTGGTCGAATTCCGTGATCAGATGGCCGCCGCCGGCGAGCTCCGCCATGCTCTCCAAGCCATCAAATGGGGGACGGATTATTTCATTAAGGCGCACACTAGTCCCCATGTTCTCTGGGCACAGGTTCAGTACATACATTAATTACCACGATGTGTACTCTTTTCTTTGTCGGGAAATGCTACAGTCCCGTTACGAAATCATTCCATTGGGATTTGTAACCCTTAGATATCATATAATCGTCGTGGATAGTTGATCTAACGGTTATATACCTCGACGGGATAATTCCGTAACGGACCGTAGAATCTCCCTTTTATTTCTATTTTTTTGAGAAAATAAATTCGGGTAGCAAAATTAGAGCTCAAAAATATTTGAAATTTTGAGCACTGTTTAATAATCCTTCAATCACGCCGGCAGGATAAATTTTGAATCGAGAATAAAAAAAAGGCCCCTCTTGATTTCCCGGAGTGGGGTCCACAAAGTTGAAATTTTAAAGTCCGGTCGATGTCTAAAGCCACGTGTCAACTCGTGCTTTGTGCGGCGATTAGGGGGGACATAATCATGGGCTTAATTGCAGAATTAAGGATTTGTTTTTGAATAAATAAATATAGGTGGGTGATGGAGACACCGATCACCTGTGCTGGCAGCGGCCGGAGGACATGACCACATCCCGGCGGGCTTACAAGCTCGACCCGGAAAATCCCGGCACGGAGGTTGCCGCGGAGACGGCAGCAGCCATGGCAGCCGCGGCCATCGTGTTTAGGAGAACAAACCCACATTACGCGCACCTTCTGCTGGAGCACGCGCAGCAGGTATTTTTAGTTGTGGGGTTTGGTCATTTCCTCATTTTTTTAATATATAAAAGAATATTTGGCGGGCATGAAATTTATGGAATGAAGAACTCAGTAGATGTACCTAATTAATGGATATTTATGTCACAACATAGCTACTTACTACGCACATGTTGATCACCTAATTACATAAAAAGAGTAATCAAGTGATGCTAATTAATTTAGTAGTAATTTGATTGACAACATGTGGTGCAGTTATTTGAGTTTGGTGACAAGTATAGGGGCAAGTATGACGACAGTATATCGGGAGCGAAGAGGTATTACTCGTCTGTGAGCGGGTACATGGATGAGTTGTTGTGGGCGGCTCTGTGGCTGTACAAGGCCACCGACAATGTACGTTACTTGAATTATGCCATCGACAATGCCGTTTCTCACGGTGGGATCACTTGGGCCATCTCCGAATTCAGCTGGGACGTGAAATATGCCGGTCTCCAAATCATTGCCTCTATGGTAATAAATTTTTATTCATCGATCGTGCATTTTAGTTCATCCCTCGGTACATTTTGTAGCTACTACAAAGCTACATGTTTTTTTTTTTTTCATCAGTTGGCAACGGAAGGCAAAACCGAGCAACAAAAGCAAGTCCTGAAGCAGTACCGCTCGAAAGCAGAACACTACATATGTGCTTGCCTGGACAAGAACAGTTTCGCTAACGTGCGACGCACCCCGGGTGGGCTCCTCTACACCCGCCAATGGAACAACATGCAGTACGTATCCACTGCAGTGTTCCTACTCACCGTCTACTCCGAACACCTCACCTCAACGAACCAGACGCTCAGCTGCCACGCGGGTTCTGTAGGACCCACTGAGATCCTCTCTTTCGTCCAGTCACAGGTGGCCTACATTCTGGGCTCCAATCCCATGGGACTCAGCTACTTGGTTGGGTACGGGCCGGTATATCCCCAGAAGGTGCACCACAGGGGCGCATCGTACAGAGATAGCAGCACCGAGGTTTTTGTAGGGTGTACTCAGGGGTATGACATGTGGTATGGACGCCAGGACCCCAACCCAAACGTTTTGGTTGGAGCCTTGGTCGGTGGGCCGGATATGAAGGACGAGTTTAGTGATAGGAGGGGAAATTATATGCAAACCGAGGCTTGCACGTATAACACCGCCCCGTTGGTCGGAGTGTTTGCTAGACTTAGTGCACTACAACAAAAGAATCAATCCACTTCTACTCATGATTCACTTATATTGTCTCAACCATTTCATGTTATGGAAATTGTATAGAGATTATGCAAGTAACTTCACCGACAGTGTAAATACCTCCCTTGTGGAATATTCAATAATGATAAAAAATAGCAAAAGGAGTTGATGACATGCACACATGGGATGGAACCTCAAATAGGGCCATGGGACAGTGTACGTTCCTTCATATTTATGAGTGGAAAACATGAGGGACATAAATGATAAATGGCTACAACAGAACTGGAACTATACTATTATTCTGTATAGTAATAGTATTCATGGATCTCAGAGTCGAATGAAACTGACCAATCAACTGCTTAACTACTTTTCAAGATATCTGAAACGTAGGTGGGAGTTTAGAGTACGCAAAATGTGTGTTCGAACACAAAAGTTAAAAACCGAAACAAATAATAAACTTAAGAGCCTCTTCGGAGAGTGTTTCACTAGCTCTCTGAGTTCTTTCATTAATAAATTGATTTGCGCACACAAAATACAACTTGGATTTACATAACTCAGACTCCTTCATATAATCTAGCAAACATCAATTAACTACTTCTTACTTCTCTGGCAACAACATGTGGACTTCGAAATAGCTATAGATCTCTCAATGCTAAACACTACTTAATCCCTATGTACTCAATGTTTTATAAAATAAATATAGTATCTATTTCTATATATAAATTAATAGAAGAGAGAGAATGGATCGTCCCTTTTAATTCATGTGCTTGCAAGAAAACCATCAAGATAATTTTAGAACTCTTGCAACAAAATAATGTATAATCTCCCCATTTGGCATTCAGTTTGAAAATCGTATCTTGAAGAAGACCTACAACACATTTAAGAAAAACAACAAGCAAAAATATATCAAATGTTCAAACACACAAGTGTTAGATCTCATGTCATCCTGTAAAGTACGAATACCCACCAAAGAACACAATATAATCTAAGAACATAAAATGAATTGTGTAATAACAGAATTCTGAATATCCAACGTATACCATGCAAAAGCATCATTTAAAAACAAACCAAACCAAATGACCTACTATCCACACAACCCACGAAACACACTGAAAACTAAAATAAAGTAAAAGCAAGCAACCAACAAACTGTTTACGAGGTTCTTACATAAAGACCTCACTATACCCCTCCATGCACTTGAAAGAAAATAAAACTAACACAACCAGCGGCAAGTCGGTCAGAATCTCCGTCTATGATCTCATCTACAGCCTCGAACTCTTGAATGCCAAAGGGCCTGTCCCAAGAGACGAGCGGCGGCGCCCTTTGACCATCTTGAGTACCAGCTTCAAGTAATTTTGTTGAGCCGCAACCTCCTTTGCCAACTTATCCCAAACACCCAGTTGTTGCGTAAAAAAGTCATCCTAGCTTGTAGGAACATCAACAACTTCAACATGGACTTTGTCTTTCGGAGTAGCATGCTCATTCATCGTGCGAACACTTACGGTAAGGAGACGACCAGGGTTGAACATAGCATCACCAAAACGAGGATTAACCGACACACCAACAGAGCTCAAGAAAGACCATATGAGACGGAAAGTTAAAGAGTACAACGCGAATCAGGATTAGGAACAAAGAAACGCAAGCAATAAAAAACAACTACCCCAAGATTGACTTGTTGCCCTATCTGACCCAATAAATGACTTGGCATTGAAGCTCAATCTATTGATTTTTGTCCGTGGTAGGAGTCCAATGACAAGCACCAATCTCGTGCAGCAAATTAGCAATAGGACATAGAGAATTAACAGGCAAATTAGAACTGGGCCACTTTTCCAAACAATCACTAGACAAAACAGAAGTAAAAACATTCAAATCAGCTTCAGAAGGCACAAACACAATACTAGGTCAACCCTTATGAGTATTCAAGAGAGAAGGAGAGAAATCAATAACCCTATTGTGTAAGAACACCCAGTTGAACCTAGGGCTTTCAGGATCAAACACGAAAGGTGGCAAATTAGCATAAAACTCCCTCACAATTTGAGACCAAAATGGTTCAAAGTTGGAGGCCGAAGACTCAAGACGAATTGAACCGATTAGAGTAGGCGAATGAAAGATCATAGGAATCAATCTAAGCTTGGTCGGGAATCTCATCATGAACAAACTTCTTCTTGCCCTTTGGGCGGCTGGAGCCGCCATCAGCCTTATTAGAGGACCAGACCAGTGGTCTTGGTTACGGTGGCAACAAGAGTGTGAATTGCTGATGTTTTCCCCTTAGACGGTGACATGGGTGATGGAACTTCATTGGGGACTGCCGGCGGAGGCGGAGGTAAAGGGATTGTGATAGCTTCGTCGTATCCTGGTGGTGGTGGTGGTAGTGGTGGAGACATGCCAGTGGAGGCCGCAAATTTCATCGGTGAAGGCGAGAGAGCCATAGAACTCACAAGAACATCGGCAACCGTTGTGTCGGACACCGTCATCTCCGCTGAGGACACCGGTGGAGAGGTAGTAGTAGTCGTGTATTGAGCCTTATTTGCCTTGACCTTACACCTTTTGTAGGACCGGACCTTTTAGAAGAGCTTTTGTCGCCAGCCAAGGTGATGAATAGAGATGAACAAGGAACGGGAATTACTATTCACGGCCTTTATTACTAGTCACCGGCCCTTCTCCCTATACTCATTCCCTCTCGATTTTTTACAACTCTTTTGACCGTAAAACAAATTTAAAAAAAAAATGTCAAAAAAATAACATGACATCGGCAAGACATTGAAGATTGACAATGTATTTTCTTTTTACTTTATTTTTTCTTTTCTTTAATTTTTTTGGCGCGTCCTACCGGCGAGGCGCCGGTAGGAAGCCACCGTGCGCGTCCGGACGCGCCAAAAAAATAAAATTAAAAAAATTAAAAAAATTATTTACAAAGTAAAAGAAAAAAATACATGGTCAATCTTCAATGTCTTGCCGATGTCATGGTATTTTTTTGGCATTGTTTCGAAATTTTTTTGACGGTCAATCTTCATTGGGTAGCTTTTCAAATAAATATGTTGAAACTGCTTATCAGCTAATTATACCAAACAGTTTTGTCGTATGTGTTAATTTTTCAGCCATAAACCATAAATTATCAATTATAAGCTCGAAATTCACTTATGATCTATGAACAATCTGCTAGTTTATCATCAAAATTTATCAAACATAACCTTATAACTACATTTTCACTAAACTTGCCAGACAGTCATTATCTAACGATTATCTAACGAAGAGACCCTAAGACCATCTCTAGTCCTTATCTATACTCTAGTGCAGAGTTTACTCTACTCTAGAATAGAGTTAACCGAAAATAAAATTCGGTCGCCAACCGTTTGCGCTACATTCTACTCTACATATATTATTCATATTATTTTAATTTATTTAATATGTCAAAATATTATTAAATTAGACATATTATTTTATAAAATAAAATATATCATGATATTGGCTGGTCTTCAAATTATTGTTCCACAAAGAATTATTATTTTTATATAATATTTGATTTATTTTATAGTAATTCAATATAAAAATATATTTTGTTAATAATAATAATTTTAAATAATTCTCAAATTAAATTATAAATTTAATGGTAAAAACTTTGTCAAACAATGAATTTTAAGATAAATCAATTGCATATAATAAAAAAATAAAAAACAAATAAAAATTGTAGAATAATGAATAGTACCACGCCAGATGCATCGAGATACTGTTCATAACCCTAGAGTAGTGCAAAGATGTAGTGCAACTTCATAACTCTAGAGTAGTGCAAAGATGTAGTGCAGCGTTGGAGAGCAATTATGTCTCCACTCTAACGCGCAGCACTGGAGATGTTCTAAATTAACAAACAAAAATCTGGTCATTGTTTGCATTTGATATTTGCATGAGGTACAGCTGTACATATTTGATGCATCAAGCATAATGCACTTACCGTCATACCCAGAGCTATCGGGCATATTGGTTTGCTATAGCTATAGCTATAGCATATGGACAACGAATTTAAAACAGGGGAGACCATATTTGATGCAAACCAAATTAATTTCGGACTTGTTCAAGGTCTGAACAAAATATTAATAACACACAATAATTATACACAAACCATAACATGCGCATGTTGAACCGGGCAAGCTGGCATACCCTATACATAATCCAACTGGGCAAACAAAGTTGGAGATTTATTCACGCGAATTCTGAAGTGAAACCATGGAAAACTTCCGAGTTGCACTTCTAATATCATTGTACATGCATAATATCCAGGCAATACTCACCTACACTGGCACCACCACTGTAGCCTGAGAGCCTTTGATGTCATCCACGTCCTCACAAGCCACCTCCTCAACAAATGTCGTCTCATTCACAGCCTTATTCTCCACAATGTAGTTGCATATGGCTTCAAATATAAGCTCCTTCACTTCCTGAAGCCTCTCTTCAGACAAAGAAACCTCAGCCAGGAGTCTCCAAGCATTTTCCTCGGACGCATTCTCGTAATCTTCTTTTCTCTTCAAGACCATATGCCCACTAATCTCCCAAACAGCAGGATTAACCTGAGTTTCGAGTACCTCAGCACTCACTTCACCCAGAGCTTGTTTCTCTGCATAACACTTGAGCCACAAATTTCAGTACGGCATGACAAAACAATTCAGATGCAAAATGAGTGACGATGAAGTTGTTTGGCTATAACTGTATACCGAAGTTCTTATTTCATTCTGCTAGAGATTTTTCCCAATAAAGTTTCAATTGGTTAACCACTTATCTCAATCTCTCCCCACAATCCTATCAACACTACATTTAAAATATAAAACAATCATCATTACACAATTTACTATCATCCGCTAGCATATTTGTGACCAATCATTATTGCAAAATTTTATTACCACGTCATTTTTAATATATATTTCCATTTTCAATCGTTCACACACCCCACAAAAATGTCTCATTTTTTTCTGAATTATTTTTCATACTACTCACCAGTCGAAGAATTATTTGCTAGTGAAACCATTCCCTTCGCAGCCTTAGCATACACACACAGTCACACATACATACATATATTCTCACCTGTGGGAAGAGGAAAATTCGCTTTCCAGAATCAGCAATGAGCACATTGTAGGGCAAGTTATTCTCTTGTAGGCAGATGCAGGCACTCGATACAACTCTTGATAAATCCTCCAGAGTGTTCCCACCCTCAAAGACGAAGCCTCTGACCGGATACTCGAGGATGTACGAGATTCGCACACCACCACTCGTGGTGATTATTTCCTTCGAAGGAGCTCTTTCAACTGGGAAAGATACGGCCAAGTAGTATGCCTGGAAATGAAGGTGATTGACGGTGGCAAACGCACCCAAGCTGTTGTAGCCCAGGCGGAAGTAAGGATTTCCAGCTTCAACGGCCATGTGAAGAGCTAGCAAGAAGCTCTCATGGTCGATCATCTGAGGCAGGCATTCGAGAATCCGGGGGATGAGCAGTACGTGCCCATACTCAATTGGACTAACCTGAAAAAACGTGCAACATTTAACAGTTCTTTCAATATGTTATACCTGAAATAGCACACAAAACTCAAAATAAAATTCGATGAAAATTGGAAGTAAAAAAATGGTATGGGTCACATACATTAATGGCGACGATGCTGGGCGAGTTCTCAGCATCAATTGGTGCGTTTGGAAAAAATCGGGCAACATTGTCTTCAGAGGAAGCTCGAAATTGGAAGAGTGCCTCTTCTTGGCCGACCTTTGTGAAGTTGAACTTGCTATCGTCAAATGGCTGCAAGACTTTATCAACTCGAAACTCTGTCGGCCTCTTTTTCAGGTGCCTTCCCTCGTTTATCTGTGCAATAAACCCGTATTTCCCAGGAATTGCCTGTGGGCCACATTATCTTTCATTAACAGTTGGGGCAACATAAGTGTCACTCGGTACTCTCTTATATAAGACGAGAGTAAGTAATTACAAAATACAAAGAATGAACAAACCTCAGAGTGAAAAGTTAAGCTGAGCATATATGAGATGCCAAACAATAAAAAATAAACAAACCTTGGTTTCGCAAGCAGTGACATCATAACGAAAGAGTCCTCTCTGCATACGATCCTCCCACTACCATAAAAAAAAAATCCCAATAAAATTCAAGACATCAACAACATCAGCATACCCAGTATATTCCCTCCCAAACAGGTTGGGGTCTGAGGGGTCTGGGGGGTCAGTTGTACGCAGACCTTTCCCTTGTAATTATACAAGGAGGCTGTTTCCATAGCGACCCAAGGTGCGTTGCGTCGTTTGATATATTTTTTCTAGAAACTTCACTAATAGAAGAAGCACTAGAATTTAATTGAGTCACTTTGATCTAGTCCATTATTTGCAAGATGCCAGAAGAATTGTCAACACTGACTCTTCCAGCTCCATTTGCAATGGACTCAATAAAATTCAAGACAGCCATCACAAAATTAACTTAAAACATATCAAGTACTTATTTCAGACTGAGTTATTATTTACCTCCCCCAGCAGAAGGGAATCCAAGAACTCCACCGGAGGCTGTTCGTTCTCAAAGCTAATCAAACTCTTCTCAGAAACAACCTTAATTTCACTCTTAAACTCGTACAGAGGTAGTTTTGCCCCTAATCAAGAGTACATTTTAATTTATACAACAAAGGGGGAAAAACAGGTAAATCTGAAAAAAGTAAGAAATTTTACCGGAAAGACAACAGCTTCTGAAGCAATTGCGGCCGCAGCCGGCTGCATGGTGGCCGCCATCCTCCGCGTCTTCCTTTTGGTAATTTGAAACCACAGTAGGAACCCTCTTAATCTTCAGCATCATCGTAAAAGACGTACAGTACTCTCACAAATGAAACTATACTCAATCTCTTGTTAAAATCAGATGAATCGCCAATCGTTTACTAGAACAATTAATACGGGCATATATGATAAATAACAAGCAAATATAAAATCTACTCGAAACTATTGGGAGCTAACAGAAGAGGTGACCGCCGCCGGCGAGGAAGAGCAGATCGGAGGGGCTTCCGCCATTGGAGGGCAGGGCGCCACGTCCGCCGTGCGGCGAAGGGTTGCTGTCGGTCACACAACCCTTGTGCCGTACCGCCCGGACATGTACAAAAATCCGATTTGCTCTTGATAAAGCCGTGATGCCCGCAAGTTTGTCTTCCACGGGTTCTTAACCCTCGCAATTGAACGGAAGAAGATTAACGGAAAGGTCTTACTTAAAATCCAGGGTTCCGGCGAAAAGGTAGAAGAAGAAGAAGAAGAAGAAGATTTGAGGGAGTGAGATGAGCGAGTTTGATTGATAAGGGAGGAGTGGTTGAGGATTCTTGGGGTTCCTCTGTTTCTTACACATTTTATGCTAATGGGGTTGTCGTTTTGGGTAATTTTTGGTTGACAACTTGACAGGGTTTTTTTACTTCTTTTGGTGGAACCCAATTTGAATGTAAATTGAATCGAATTAAATTCATAACGTTTGGACCTAATTATCTCTAAAATATTTGGTACATTCACAATTTGATTTAGATATTAGATAAAATCAGCTCTGAATCAACTAAAAAAAATAAAATATTGTATATATAATAACGTAATATTTTATTAGCAAACATACAAAATATGGTAGAACTATTTGTGTATATATATACAATATTTACATATATTTCTCTTACTTTTTTTTAAATATAATTGATAATGATGTTTTTCTTTACTTGGTAACTGTCGAGACTTAATAAGATTTTATTTTGTAACTTTCCACAATTCTAATCTGACTCGCTAAAATTCTCCAAACCTCAAGTTACCGACTTAATAAGATTTTACTTTGTGACTTTCCACAATTCTAATTTGACTCACTAAAATCCTCCAAACCTCAAGTTACCTAACTTCTTTTGTTCTTATTCATTCATTCACCATTGACATCATTATTTCAATGTCAAGGTTTTTCTTTACTAATTTCCTCTTTGATGTAGAGCGTAGTATGAATAGGGAAGAACACACACAATTCTTACGAGAAATCTCAATTTTTATTCATCAAAGTCTGCTCCTCAAAGAGAGAAGACGAGGGTTTTAACACATCAGATAAATCCCTAATCTTAAAAGTTTCATAAATAACAAAAAGGGCCCAGCACTAATAATAATAATAAAAAGAGCCCAACAATAAATAAAGACAACTAAAGAGAAATAAACTAGCTAAATACGAAGACGGTCATATTTATTTAAGAATGTTATCGCGGTCTCGTCTCCATCATCCTCCCCCGTTTGGGAAGGATTCGGCCGCGAATCCGAACCGGTCTCGTCTCCGTCAGAATTGTCTCCCGCGAATGGAACCAAATGCTTGACGTTAAACACGTCAGAAGTGCGAATGTGAGAAGAAAGTCGAAGACGATAGGCATTGGGGTTTATCTTCTCGACAACCTCAACTGGTCCAATCTTACGAGCCGACAATTTATTAAACTCGTGCGCGGGAAACCTGTCCTTAGTTAAAACAGCCCAGACAAAATCACCCACCTCAAATTCGACGTGGCGGCGCCGGGCATCGGCGGCCTTCTTATACGCCGCTGTAGAAGACTCCAAGCGAGCCCGGGTCGCGGCGTGCGTCGCCACCAAATCCGCCACAAGCTCCGACGCGCGACGGTCAGTCCCGGCAGCCGCCGGCAGCGGCGCCAATGCACAAGGCCCGCGCGGTTGGACATCATACACAATTTGGAAAAGAGAAAGGCCCGTAGCTCGACCCACAGCTGAATTATGAGCGAATTCAGCCTGGCACAACCGCTGGTCCCAAGTACGTGTATTATCACCCACCAAGCAACGTAGCAAATTACCCAACGAACGATTAACCACCTCCGTCTGGTCGTCCGTCTGAGGGTGGTAAGCGCTGCTGAAATCAAGGCGAGTGTCCACCATACGCCACAAACTCCTCCAAAAGTAACACAGAAAACGAGTATCACGGTCAGACACAATGGCTGACGGTAGTCCATGAAGTCGATAAATTTCCCGAAAAAATAACTGGGCCACGTGAACAGCATCGGTGGTGCGCTTGCATGGAATGAAGTGCACCATCTTCGAGAAACGATCGACCACGACAAAAATAGAATCAAAGCCCCGCTGGGTCCGAGGCAACCCGAGCACAAAGTCCATGCTGATCGACTGCCACGGCTGGAAGGTAGCGGCAGAGGCCTGTACAAGCCCACATTAGTAGCTACCCCCTTAGAGACCTGGCAAATCCGACAACGGGCCACAAACCGGCCCACATCACGCTGAAGGGAAGGCCTGAAATAACTGCGACCCACCAGCTCCACGGACCTATCACGTCCCACGTGACCGGTCCCGTGCAAATCGGCAATGATCTTCTGCCGCAAGCTGCAGTCCCGGAATACATAGGCGAACCCCACGAAAAATAAAACCATCCAGCAAAGTGAAGTCCTCGTAGGGCCCGTCACGTAAACGAGCAAGGAGCGGCCCAAAGAAAGGGTCCTCGGCGTACACATCCCTCAATACCTCAAAACCCACGACTGACACTCGCAACTTGGATAAAAGCAGAGCACGCCGACTCAACGCATCGGCCACCCTGTTAGAAGTACTTGATCGATGGCGTAGGACAAAAGTAAACTGCTGAAGGAACGCAGTCCAAGAAGCATGCCTCGTCGAAATGTTATCTTGAGAGGCTAAGTGACGAAGAGCCTCATGATCAGTGTAAAGCACGAACTCCCTGTGAAAAAGGTAGTGCCGCCAATTGCGAACCGCACGAACAACAACATAAAATTCAACATCATAAGTATTGTACCTTGCTCTCGGGCCTGAAAGCTTCTCACTAAAGAAAGAGACTGGACGCCCATCCTGGCTGAGGACAACACCAATCCCCACCTTCGAGGCGTCGCACGAAAGCTCGAAGGGCCGAGAAAAATCCGGTAAGATAAGAACCGGAGCCGACGTCAATTTCCTCTTGATAAGGTCGAATGCCTGAGCAGATGCCTCGGTCCACGAGAAAGTCTTTCCCGTGAGACAGTCAGTAATCGGGGCCATCAATGTGCTAAAATGCAAAATGAAACGACGATAAAATGAGGCCAACCCATGAAAACTGTGAGCCTCCGTGAAGGAGGTCGGTGTATGCCAATCCCGCACAGCTGCCACCTTGCTATCATCCACACGAATACCCTCGGCCGAAATGAGGAAGCCCAAGAACAGGACCGAGCCGACTAGGAAAAAGCACTTATGAGGTGCTGCAAAGAAGGACTCAGCCCGCAATATAAGAAGCACAACCCGCTCTGATACCAACTGATGTAGAGCGTAGTATGAATAGGGAAGAACACACACAATTCTTACGAGAAATCTCAATTTTTATTCATCAAAGTCTGCTCCCCAAAGAGAGAAGACGAGGGTTTTAATGCATCAGATAAATCCCTAATCTTAAAAGTTCCATAAATAACAAAAAGGGCCCAACACTAATAATAATAAAAAAAAGAGCGCAACAATAAATAAAGACAACTAAAGAGAAATAAACTAGCTAAATACAAAGACGGTCATATTTATTTAAGAATGCTATCGCGGTCTCGTCTCCATCACTCTTCGAGAGAAAAAAATACAAGCACATAAAATGGCGAGCGTCGATCCCACCACTTCAGAAGCAGTCTAGTGATGGCGATGAGATCGCCTTAGCGTATCTGGCGAAATATGAAAAGTTCCGGATTTAGAAGATATATTACTAATTGCCATTATTATTGATGGGGACGAGACCGCGATAGCGTTCTTAAATAAATATGATCGTCTGCGTGTCTAGTTTATTTATTTGGTCATTATTAGTGGTCTTTTATTTTGCATCTTATTTTGGATAGTGGAATTAAAATAATTAGTAGGAATTTATTTTAAGTAATGGATGAGCATGTGACTCTCATTTTTTTTATGTAATCTCTTATGCGCAGTTGAGAGCAGATTATTGATGAATTGAATAAAATTTGTTTGTGTTTTATCGTGTTCTTCCCGTTCATATACACGCTCTACATCAGTTGGTATCCAGAGACCAGCGACGATCCACGATGCCGCCCAAGAGAGATAACATTGATGATAGTTTCCAACAAACGGAAGAGC